CAATTTTACATTATTTGAATAATTAAATTAAAAATTCATTAGCAGCTATCGATTTTAGATATGACAGTTCGAAGTTGTCATTACGACGACATTCGATCGCAGAAGGTTAATATAATCGTGAAACGAAGTTGTGAACAGACTGCAGACGATTTATGTAAATACAGATTTCTTAGGATGAATTTAAAGAAATTAGACTCACGAAATTGGTTTTCTCATTTAGGATACTGCATGCAGATAAATAAACGTATCGATGAATTATGTTTAGTAAATTATATACCCTGACTTCTAGGCAATCTCGTCTATTATTATAGGCAAACGCATAAATTCACAGTTATGAACTAGAAATTATGAACATCCTTTATTTGGCTATGTTATCTGATAAGGACTTTAACACTAATCGTACCTCAAACCGATCAAACGACCGGTTTTAAAATTTGATTTAAAATTCTACGTTTTCTTCCGTTCATTTAATTTTACATCAATTCCTATATTTGCTGATTAATCAGTTTTTCAATGTTTGTCTTTCCTTTCGTTTCTCTTTTCACCAAGAACAATTTGTCATTGAACTTATTTACCTTTATTTTGTAGCTAGTTATTTGAGTGGTTACGGTAAGAACAGATATATACAAAGTGCCAGTACGGTTAGTGCTAAACAAGAGATAATTGACGTGTTTTAAATTTGAAATGTGGAAGGAATGAATGGAAACCATAGGTTGAAACGGAGAATAAGTTGACATTGTCCGATAATGCACAGAGCGTTCCTTCTCTAAAAAATTAGTATTATTTTGGGTTTCAAGATGATCTGTATACTCTTCAAACACAATTAACTGATTAAGATGAAAATATTAACGGAAGTGTTCACAAACTGTTCACGCAGGAATTTAACTGGTAAAACAGAGCAGCTTGGAGGAAATCGAAAGGAGCAGCAAAAAAATTAATAAAAAATCTTGCCAAACGGTAATATTATCATTAAAAATACCAAAATTACGCATGTCGCATTAAAAATACCTTAAGTACAAGTTAACGAAGTGCGAACAGGATGTAACAAAAACAAGCAAAAGAAAAGCAAGACGATTTTGTTGTTTGCTTTTTCACAACAGTGGTCTAACAATTCGCACATCGTCGTTTTTGAAATAACATGACTCGAGGTAATTAAATACACGGATCGTTCTCGCATCTTCGATCCCCGAATAATCATCGAGATACAATTACGATGCGACTTTGCTTGCTAGGTATCGCGATCGTTTCACGCGGTCCCTGTGTCGCTCGTTACGTGGTCTACTAGCCACTGCAATGGAGCGAGAAAGACGAGAGACGCGGAGCCTGGAAAGAGACGGTCCATAGTTACGGCGAGGTCGGAGGGGAAGGGGAGAAGCGTGAAAAGAAATAGAGAAGTACCCGCTAGCGAATTATCTGGTATTTTCTTTTCAGCCTGCGGACCCCGGAGCAGCTAAGCAAAGGTCAAAAGTTGAGCAATGCTCTCGTTATCGGTGCAAACACTGCCTTCGCATATGCAGTACGTCGGCACCGAGCGTTCGGTGCTGTCGTCGAGAAAAACTTCGATCGCGGATGTTCGCCTTCGTTCATTTTTTCATTTCATTCTTTCCATTTTTTTTTCGTCACCTTTCGATCCTTCTTCCCGATAACTCGGTGATCATTACCCGGTGATTGTTGACAGTGTCTCTGCGCGCAGATCATCAGTTGTCTGGACACCGGTGTAAAACGGTCGTGCATCGCATTGCAAGTCGTGTCGATCTGACGCGCGATGCTTCGATCCGCATCGGAGTATATGTTCCGCAACTGAAAAATTTGTAGCACACGGTTGCGTGATGCATTCCATCTCTAAAAGATAAACATATCATCAATATTAACTTTCACTTTTAATTACAATCGAGCAGCGTCTCTATTGATCTTCTTTGACCGTCCATTAACCTTATCGATTCTTGTAAGTGTTGTTGGTACAACAGTTCTGTTTATATTCCAAACATTCCTTCCACTTCGGTAATAATTTAGATATCTATCGATGACAAATATACATTACATTTTCATAACGTTTCATGAAACTCCACGTTAAAGCTGGATCTTACACGCACCTCGTTAACTTCATTCGAGAAAAACATCTCAGGGATGAAAGTTTCACTCTCGACCCCCGTCCAACAGCCCAAACCGAGCTGCAAGAATCCGCGTCGATATCACGTACAGTGTAAAAAAGTGAAACTGTGCTGTCCCGGGATTGCCGGCGTCAACGCTCGTAGAAGAAACTCTCGTTTAATTACGCCGCGACGAAAGGGTGGCGGCTCCTTGAGTCCGACGGAAGTGGCGCTGCGCCGCGCTGCCCGCGGCCACCGCGCGGTTGTTTCGCGCGACGAAAGCTTCCGGCTGACCGTCTTACGAGAGATAAACGGATCATCGATAAAAAGAGGCGTCCGTGTATGACGGAAAAGCGAGAGGGAACGGAGCAAAAGAAGAGAAGGCACCAGTTACGCACATAATGTACGAGTCCTGAGGAGGAGCCGTTGGAGTCCCTTCCGGAGGCGTGACGCCGCGCCGCGCCACGGCACGACGTTGCGACTATAAGTAAGTCTCGCGCGGCGCGCCGCGGTTTAATGCCGCTGCCGCGTTCGTGGCGCCAAGAGGAGGGCCCATTGGCGACGATAAGCCTCCTTCGTGTCCGGCACGAACGGGAGAAAAAGAAACCGATAGACAGAGAGAGAGTCAGGGAAAGAGGGGGAGCGTGTATGTATGAGAGAAAGAGAGAGTGAGAGAGAGAGTGAGATGGAGAGAGAGGGAGAGATAGATACACGGAGATAGACGCACAGCAGCCAGCTTTCACCCGCGTTTCAGCAGTGAACATACGTGTATATACACGTATACCCCGTTCGGGGTGTGGATCGCGACAGTGTAGATAATACGTAGCTGTCAGTCGTGTCCGACCAGTGTCAGTCTAGAGTTAGTTAGTGGCGGTGAACGAGTGCCCGAGTGTTTCTATCCGGAATCGGAGTTTCAACCCTCCCCGCTCTCCCTTTCAACGCAACGTCTTGCGCGTTTCGTGCCTCTTCGTCCCCAACGCAGTTTGATTCCATTGAAAAAAGAAGAATTTTGCGGTTCGATATTCATCAGTGGGACGCGCCTAAAGTTTCGATCTCCCGGAATCTCTGGTACATCGTAGTTGTCAGTGCTCGGAACGGGACGCGTCGAGAAGGGGGTAGTAGACGATCCGGCTCGGCGAGTGCTCGTCGAAGAGCAGTTCGCGGGGCAGCCCGGTAGCTAAACGGTTAAAACGAGTGTGTCCAGTGTTCAGTGATCGAGGGATCGGCGAAAGGTGTTTGGGATCGCAGGGGGTGCGCATGGTTTCGTGTGGCCCGTGGAGAGGACAGGCCAGTTGACCAGCGCGGATACTTGTGCGCCTGGTTTTGGATGGTGATCGCGGTTGCGTTTTGACCCTCTCTCGACGAACGACCATGTCCGGGTTGCTTTATACGCTCCTAGGGCTGGCGGCCAGCACGAGCCTCCATTGCGCGGTGCGCCGCGAGATAAGCCCGTGCACCTGCAGACAGGGAGGGTTCTCCGGTCCCGTTATCAACCCAGCCACGTCCGCGGCCGCGGCCGCCGCTGCCGTCGCGAATACCGCTAACAATGCAGGCCACTACGCGCACGGGGAGCGGATCGAGGTGGTGTGCGAACGTATGGACTCGTTCGAGCAGGTCGCCGGAGCATTAAGGGGCAAATTCACCGCGGAGCAACAGATCACGCTAAGGGTGTCGCACTCGAACCTGCGCGACATATCCCGCCACGATTTCAAAGAGCTACGTATGTCCATCACGAAGCTCGAGCTGAACCATGATCATCTGGGGTGAGTGGATCTTCTTGCCGGGGATGAGGGAATGTTGACTTGTCTTGGCAAATATCGGGTGTTCGAATGTTTGATTCGTTCACCCTGCACTTGCGAGCTGGAGTCTAGACCGTCGTAAATGTTAGCTGACACGAGCATTTCCTTGAAAATCGTGTTTAATCGTGTGTGCTTCTGTTGGAATTACCATGAAACTCGCGGGGAAGCTTGAATAACGCGATCTTATTGTTTGTACTAAAAATTATCCATCTCGCTGGTCAAGTGTTAAAAAAGTTTAGCGAAACTTGTTTGTTACTACTCTATTAGACATTCTAGCCCTTTCGATGTATTAAGACCATAGTAGGGATGGAAATGATAATGATGGGAAATGCACAATATTTTCTGGGACGTGTTAAACGATTACAAATAGGAGCAGTACGTTTTAAATTGTTCAACCATCCATCGCAGTGTTGTACAATGGAGATTTTGATAAGGTGTCGAGTATGGTATTGTTTAGTTTAACAAAATGCATTAAAAATAGTCACGGAATATGCGATTGTGATCATGTGTACTTTGCCCAAACAGCTGCCTCCTTATTCGTTCTTCTGATTATTCTATGAAAGTGTTTAATTTCTGCAATATTCATGGCTCTGTTGCAGACGATTGTGCAAACATTCCAATTAATTTTTAAATAATTAATTTTTTTTGTCTTCGAAGACAAGCGATATATGAATGGTTCATTTTCATGTCGTCATTTATTACTCAGGAATTTTTATCTAGATAACTTTGACTACCTTTCTAAAGAATAATGCGCGTCGCTCACATGTCAATGGTCACGGTTCAAAGGGAAGAATAATTTTGTTTGAATAACAGATTAGAGGTTGCGGACAAAACGTTCGTTCAGGTATTCACAAGAACAAGTAATTATTCAAATACGCATTTGTACTTTCGAAACGAATATTATTTTACTCTAACATCCGAGTGAAATTAATCCGATACATTCTAATAACGTAACGATTGATAGAAATATCGAATCAATTTTTATACATTGTTTCAATCTAACATTGTTCAATCAGATTTTATTCACTTTCAATCGATGATACACGTATGCTGCAGTCATCGGTGTAACGAGGTAATTGATACATATAGACTTTCAATGGCTGTTCGTAAATGGTCTACGAATTTACATATACACGGCGTCTTCGAGAAAGGAAAACACTTCTTTATGTCTAAAACCTTGCAAACCATTATGTTTCCGCAAAACAATAAATTGATAGTATAGATGATAGTTCAATAACAATCATCTCCTACGTCTTTCGCGCATCTTTTTCACAACACACCTAAGTTTCACCCTGCACAATATTCCCTTTAAACTCCTCCCAAAGTAATCACCGGGGACCAATTGAAAATGAAGGAAACTTTGTTCAAACGAACTGTCAACCCCCTTTCTCCTGGAACTTGGCGTACAACCAAAGAACATACTTCGATCTATGATTCCTCTCGTTCGCAAAACGTTCACCGCGTCTCCCGGACAACTCGCTCCGTGGTTTTCAGCTCCGCGGACCGTTCAGATTAGTTTCTGTTTTCTCGCGATGAAACGGTATATCAGTCCGGACTTGTTGTGGCGTTCGTGTATCACCGATTCTTTTTGTGTTTATTAAACACGCGTCGGCCGAGCCACCGTGTACGGTACGCAGCTATTTTTTCCTCTGTTCCTGCTGTCCCGACAATTCGAAAGGTCGCACAACTGTTTCATCTTTTTTCCCGATATTATCGTCGAGAGAGCGAGAAGAAAGGGTGTTTCTTTCTTTCTCGTCGGCTGGAAAAAAAGGTGTCGCCGTCGTTCGCCTCGGGACGAAGCAAACGAACACACTTTCGATCGACCTCGCGGCTCCAAGGAATCTTCCCCGATCATTTCGTGGAAGACGTCGCGGCCAGCGAGGCCGAGGAAACTCTACGCGAGTCGAAGAAAATCGTAAGACGACGATAGGCGGCCCGCGGATAAGTGATATCAGCCACGCTCGCCTCGAACCACGCGCACACCATTCGGCCGACGAAACACGTATCGCGTTTGTGGAAGCTCGAGGTTCCGTCGACGTTCCACATTTTCGTTTTACCATTTATCTTCGCCACGGAGGCTCCCCCCTCCCCTCACCGTCGTCACGTGAACACTTCTGCGATCGACGCATGCCGATTGTGTGTGATGTTACCGCGAATTCCCGTTTTGCTGGATTATCTCGTGAAAATTGGCACGAGAAAGCGGACGCCACACCGATTACTGTGAACATTGAAACCATCGAACGATAGGAATGGATGCTTTGGAGATGTTAGCTTGTCCCAGAAATTTCCTTCGTTTTATTCGTGTGTAACGAATGCATAGTACTCGATCTTCCGCGCGATCCATTCTGTTCTGTTGCCTCCGCTTTTGCTAGTAGCTTTGCTAACTAATCAAGATTTCTGGCGTATTGAATATCGTTGCCAGCGACAGAAACAATCTAATACTTGTATAAATGATGGAAATGTATTTATAAGGAACATTCTGCGATCCGAACGTTTTGATATTTCTACTAACTTTATAGGTCTGTGGGTGATTTACAGATGGACCTATTAGGCAACTTTTTTGTTAGTTAGTTCTCTGTTTCTTTATAATATCTTCAAAATAATACGAATGAAAGGTTGAGCGTGAAATGTTTCGCGCATAACGATTTTTCAATGTTTATTGTGGCCTCGAAATCGCGCGGAAGAACAAGAAAATACGAATTAACCACTGAGAGCTGTTTTCACCTCCACAAATCCAAAGAACCTGAATTTACAAATTTCCGAAAGTTCCTTGTCGTTGTGCAAACAAACGAATTACGTGATTCAACTACCCACGACTGCAAAGAACAATGAAGATAAACGGAACTTCAATTAGATGTTCACTGCTACTTACTCGTCGCGAGCAACGCAAGATCCGATCTTCATTTATAACCGAACATTAACGGTGAATAGTAATATCGTGGAGAACTCTCGCTCGTCTGACCATGAGATTCTTTAATCACTTAGAAGCCAAGTGTAACTTTCAAGAAGAAATACGATTTCAGGCGACAAACGAAGCGAAAAAGAAAAAACGGCAAGGCGGTCTCGTGACGTAATTGTTTCAGGTGTATTCGAGGGAATGTCTATCGACTGGACCTCGCAAAAGAGCACGCGTTCGAGCGCACCGTGTTATGCATTGATACCAGCGACAATATCATCGCGAAAAGGTCATCGTCTGATGTTGCGAGTACTGAGCAAAGATGGTTCTATATAACGACGCGGCGGCTCCAATTAGCGTAATTATTTCGCGAATCAACGGCCGTTGACTGCCGGAAACCTTTTCCGAATGGTTGAGCGTGGCGCGTTTCGCGGAATCGATCGAGTTCGTAAAATGCTGGGTCCACCGCAAAACGTACGCCAGCTGTATAGGCGACAGCTATAATCTTTACGTTTATCGTCACGAGTCGCTTATTATTCCTATATATTTTTACACCGCTAACGATAATGTATTAAATAATACACAGATAACGAGGCTAGGCTTATAATTTTTGGGCTCTCGAACGCTGCTGAAAAATTCATTTTTTTGCGAAAATTACGTGGAAAGAATATAGTTGTATAAAGACAGACGCGAAAGTGTGTCGATTCGAAGAGACTTCGATCGGAAATGACCGATTCGAACGGAATAACATATGAGGCGCCACGTGATATCGTCGTTCGGTGTTCGTCGATCGCGGAGATGATCGGGAATCACGAATTTCCTCGTTCCTAGGTAAAACGATTGTCGCTTGGTCGTGAGGACGGCGCAAAGGACGAACACTGGTCTTCCTTGATTATCCTGATAGGCCGCGCGCACCTCGCGGCTGATGAGAGAAAACGAAAGTCCTTGAGGAAGGCGCGGACGACGATCGGGAATGCGTCTTCACGCGAAAGACAGAAAAAGAGAGGAGATCGGCGCGAGAATGAAATCTTAATCACGACTGACCTCTTCCAGCGAGTTATCAGGCGGGCCCTGCGCGCTTATCGCTTTGGAATAATTAAATAACGAAACGCTGTGAGCCAACGTTATGTGAATAATCGAGCGATAATGACCGTGGCGAGCCACGATTTTGGACGTTCCATTGTTTCCTTGGTATCTTGATCAAATTTTTGCGCAACCACCCAAGATCTACGACATCCAACGATCTTCTGAATAACATTGATCAACATTTTTTTCCACCTTATAGTTATTGTTATTCTTAAGAGAAAGTACAGAGTTGTAGGATTCATGTTTAATGTTCTTTGCAATTAATGTGCCGTGAATAATTTCAAACGGAGGAATCAAGTTAGACTTCATTTCTAATTGTTGCTTCCTGTAACGTTGAGCTGTTACAACGTTAGGGAAACTTGAAGAAGTTTTAGAACATTTTTTGAAAAATCTTGTTTCTCGTAATTAGTCTGCAGATTTCGTGTACTTCTAACGAACGTCAGTATATTGGATACAAGAAAATGAATGAACATTTTACTTCACTTTTATATAAATGGATCGTTCTATAGAAAAAACGAGTTAGTATTTCTTATTCCCAGTTTCACGGATTAGTTCATGAATACTTTCCGCGAGCTCTTTTTTCAGTTGGAATGAAGCTTCGTTGATATTAGTGAATGGGTCAATCCTTTCTTTAACTGGACTATTCAGCAGGGAATTTGAGTTTCTTCCTTTGATCCGTGACTAGGACAACGAGCGATAATTTCGTTTCGCCGCTGATAATTGGGGATTGATTGCGTATCGCGCGCCGGCCATGTGTTTACAACGGTCACACGTTGCTCGATGTGCGATTGCTCGTAGCCGGAGATAACGCTGCTATCGGTGAATTCCATTCGAAATTTTTCAACAGCCAGACAATTCGAGTTCAATTTCGAGAATTATCTCGCGAGATCGGCTTGAGATCTTTATCATTTCATGACAAAAGCGTGTTCACAGAATATAATGAAACACACGAGCTACAACGGAGAACTGTAATAAACTACTTACAAGGGCAAGGTATTGCATTGCGGCGATCTTTCATAGAACAATTTATATGTTTCATTATATGAAAATCAAATTCTTCTTTACACTTAAGAATTATTCTAGAAGGGACGTAGTTACTTAAAAAGCAATTATTTTATTGCTAAATTAAAATTGCCTAATTAAATTATTAAAGCAATTTACCTATAAATTGAAAGATATTAAGCACCTTTTCTCTACGTGAATTATGAACTCGAATATGTTCCTACGTTTTAAATGCAATTATATGAAACGTGTAACTGACAGGAGCTGATAAAGCACACATATATACAATAGTCCACGATGGCCTTTATTTTCATTTCACTTTTGAACTGAGAGTAGTGCGAACGATCAAATGTGTGTTGATTAATGGAAAATAAAAAAAGCGTTTTCTTGTATTTTAGGATCGTGGACGGCGACGTTTTCGCGGGTTTGGGGAGAACACAATATCTCAGTCTCGCGGATAACGAAGTGCCGACTATACCGAGGCACATTCTGTCGCATCTTTCGTTGCTGAGGACCTTAGACCTCAGCAGAAATCGGATAAGTCGCATAGATTCGGATGACTTTAAGGTACGTGTGTTTATCGCAATTCAAACAAATTTATTTCTCCTGTAAATACTGTAGCGTCATTCAATAGTTTGGGTCAGTTTCCAAACGTTCAAGAGAAAACTTCTAAAAACGATCTTTATGAAAAGTATCTGTTACCATTAAAATGTTCATTTCCGGTAGCAAAAACAAATGTTCTCTTATCATATAAGAATTTTCGGTAAGATCACAGTGAATATTTCAATTCTACTGGAAATTTTATTCGATCATCTAGCAAACGAAGATTCTTTTAAAACACTGTCAAAGAGATTTTACATTCTGCATGTTCACGTAAAGTCTTTTAATTGCGAATAAACAAATGTTTTCTTAACAAAGAAGACATGTGAAAAAAGAGGGCAATAGGAATAACTGATAATCGTGACATCGATATGGAGCATCTCATAAACAGGAAGAATACGAGCTCACCATTAATGACTATCAATTACGAACGTTGATGTAACCTTTTCTGACCGTAGTGCCACTTGCGCCTTTTGAATTATGCATTTATTGAACTGATTTAATCTAATCTCATTTCGACTGACTCTGGGAATGCATTGTCTTTTCATTCGCGGGCGTTTCTGTTCGCAGCGACGATCCACCTAGCGTAAAAGAATTTCGAAGTACTAATTTAAACTTCTTCACTAATCACACATGAAAAATCTCTCAATTTATTTTTATGAACATTCTATTCCTACGATCCGTTGTATTGTTTCTTTCTTAGTTCTAATCTGACAAACAATTAAAAAATATCAAAATTATTCCTATATTTCATTTAAAATAAGGAAAACCGTGTTCCAATTGGTAAACCGTCGCCATCTTGAAATACAGTAGAACCTCGATCATTGGATCGAATTAAACGACTAACAGTCCAAATAATTACAAAGCCGAGAAAAAGTTAATGAAACATATTTTTAAAATTCTATCGTATATATTCTAAAGTTCAGTCAACAAATTTGAATGAATGAGTTCCAATTTAATCAAGACTTCGGGCAATCTAGATCGCAGAAAATAGCGGTAGTTTATCGATTAATACATGGTTTTTCTTATGTAGTGTAATATTGTCACGTTTAACAACCTTTGTTTTTTCCTCGAGCGAGTAAATTACATTGTCAACACCTTTCTCTTGATGAACAACAAATATTACATGGAACATCTCGAGCGGCACGCAAGAAACAAAAAAAAATAATGCTATTGAACAAGCGCATGATATTTTCCGCCGAGCACGTTTCGCATGTTACGCGTGACTTTGTACTATAATACATATTTGTGGCCGGCGTATGAACGAACAATTCATCTCGAGGAGAGGAAGACAGCAACTAGGTGGCCTGGTGGGGTTTCCCTGGCGCTTGAGGCGCACGTGACCGGCCACGTGCAGAGAATAGTCCGCCAATCGTTCTCCAGACGATACGTGCCACTTACGAGATTTTTTATTCACGGCTGC